TTGACTTCAAAGTAGAACACTGCCACCTTGCTATAGAACACTACCATGGAGAGGAGGCTGTAAAGAGAATAATTAAAATTTTACTTAAGACATGAAAATAATACTACTTCTAATAAAAGTAGAGGTAGCATTAAATCATAGGATGGATTTAACAAACTTACTTTCCCCAAACAATATACATACGGAAAGACAATGTTTTTTTTTTTCAATCATGACCATACCAAATATGCCCTATTTCTAGGAGACATGAAAAACAGAAAAGTGTGGTGATATTGTGTTCCCCAATATATTTCGCACCCTAATAAATTTATCTGGGGTCATAGAACAGAACAGCCACTAGACAGACATAGAGGCCAGAAAATGGTGGCACTCACACATTTAATCCTAGCATTCCAGAGGCAGAGATCTGCCTGGATCTCTGTGAGTTCAAGGCTACACTGGAAACAGCCAGGCATGGTAACAAGAGCCTTTAATCCCAGGAAGTGATGGCAGAAAGGTATATAAGGTGTGAGGACCAGGAACTAGGTGGTTAAGATTTGAGGCTTTTGAGCAGCACACTTCAGCTGAGAGGCATCCAGTCTGAGGAAACAGGATCAGCTGAGGAACTGGCAAGGTGAGGTAGCTGTGGCTTGTTCTGCTTCTCTGATCTTCCAGCTTTAACCCCAATACCTGGCTCCAGGTTTGTTTCTATTAATAAGATCTTCTAAGATTCATGCTACTGAAAAGTGGGGTTTAGAATGAGGATGAGGTCAGCTAAGGGCTGGATTTAATGGGGTTGTCTCTGTTGTTTACTCAGAGCCAAGCAAAACAGCTTGTGAAATTTCACAGACAGTGTGACAATCAGTCCCAGGGCTTGTGGAGAGCAATTAGAAGTAAAAGGGTAATTTTAGTGTGTGTGGAAGGAACAACAAAATAGGTGGGTGGGATGGTGTTGAAAGGCTCATGGTAAGATGCTTGCCACAGCCTCCAGTAACATGGAAGAAATACTGCCTAGAAATACAGCTCACCCTCCACTCACTTCTACTAAACAGTACATTTCAGACTCAGTGTTCTACACTTTTCATATAGTGTTAAGGGGACACATCTTATTACTAGTTCTATATAACTCTCCATAGTTTCTAAGGGCCTTTCTGACGATGCTTTTCACTTTATGCCTTAAAGATTTGTTCATTGACATTGCAGCCTAGAAATGGCTTGGAACTTTTCTCCCTCTCACCTACAGGGTAGAAAACTTAGACTGAAGTACAAAGTTCTTAGTTAAATTTGAATTTTATATAAACAATCCAACTTTATTAAGGATTGGAATCTTCAGCAGTTAAGAGCACTTACCGCTCTTGCAGAAGACCTGGGTTCAATTCCCAGCACCCACATGGCAGCTAACAGCTGTCTGTAACACCAGTTGCAGGCACACATGTGGTACAGAGACATACATGCAGGCAAAACACCAAGACACATATAATACATTTTTAAAACTGAAGTCAGTTGGTTGATAAATGTCTTTCATGAATCCTTGTCTGAAGGTCTGTTTCTCATAGAGCACAGCAACCATTCATTAGAACTTAGAAGGAATTTGGAAGAGCTGCCTTGAGTAGCATCCCATTTATTAACTACAGTTCACATTTACAACCTAATAAAAACTGTCCTATGTTTTGTATGTCCAGTCCCTAGCAACAAATGAGTAGCCATTTGTTAATGTTTTCCTGAGAGACTGCTATGCCTTTCCTATCCTGTTCATATTTCTCCAGCTTTGAAACTACTGACAAGAAATAAACCAATTAGGCATCTGATAAAATGTCATTTCTACTCATATATGTGAGTTTTTAAAAGGAATGCCTTAGCCCAGCTGCTCCAGGAAAAGACCAATGAACCATGAAGAAATATGCTTTATCAAGAAGAAAAGAAAATAATTGCCTAACTGGGTCAGGTCATAGATGAAAGAGATGGGCATCTCACAATCTCTTTAGATGACAGTTAAGAAAAGATACCCCCACACACACACCTCAACTTCTAAAGAATCACTTGGAATGAAGCTCATTATGGCAATCCATTAATGAGTCATCACCAAGGTCAATAAATAGTCCAGGGAAAGGACAGTTTGCTCTACTAATCTCTTGAGCATCTTCATTTTCTTAATAGGAAAGCCTTGCTCTTGACATGCTAAAGCCGAACAACTCTGATGACAATATTTGGATTATCTACAAACTATTTCAGATATTCACAACTTAAAAGATAAAGTCTTCTTTGCAGACATAAAGGAGGCATCTGGGAGAGGCTGGAGAGGGAAGTGGGGCATGAATATGATCAAAGTACATTGTATGCATACATGAAATTTCCAAAGAATAAAGACAAGTATTTTTAAAGTCTATTTACAGATTGTCTTCCAGTTTATAATTACAATAAAGTCTTGTGTCAAAACACCAGTATTTGATGAAACACGCCCATACGGCATTGCTGGAATCACAATATGAACACCTTGATCATGGGGAGAAAGCCCCTCATTCTTGATGAGTTAGTATAAGGCAAATAATTCAAAATAGCATGGCTATAGGTGGGGCAGCCAGGCCGAAAGAACAAATAGGAGAAGAAATCTAGGCTCAAGTAAAAAAGGGGAGGGGCGAGAAAAGGAGGCAGGAGGACGTCAGGGGTCAGCCACCCAGCCACACAGCCAGCCATGGAGTAAGAAGGAAAGAAAGATATATAGAATAAAGAAAGGTAAAAGCCCAGAGGCAAACGTAGTTAAAGAGAAACAGGATAAATTAAGTTAAAAAAAAAAAGCTAACTAGAAATGAGCCAAGCTAAGCCTGAGCATTCATAAATAAGAATAAGTCTCCATGTATTTATTTGAGAGCTGGGTGGCAGGCCCCCCTCAAAGAGTAAAAAAGAAAAAAACCCAGGCGACTACAGGGAAAATAAGAGGTCAGTTTAGGGGGCAGACAGAGGGGGAGAGCACTGAAAGAGACTACTGGAAAGGGGTGGCGAGCATTTCAGGGTCAGGTAAAAACCTGGCACAAGGGAATCTCCCAGGAATCTACAAGGATGATCCCAGCTAAGACTCCTAGCAATAGTGGATACATAGTCTGAACTGGTCATCTCCTGTGACCAGGCGAGACTTCAAGTGGAGGGATTGGGACACCAACCCAGCCACATAACCTTCAACCTACAGTCTGTACTGCCTATGGGATGTGCTGGAGTTAGGGTGGTGCAGAGATTGTGGGAGTGGCCAACCATGACTGGTCTAGCCTAAAACCCATGCCAGGATATAAGTCTGCCCTTGATACTGCTTGGAGCAGCAGGACCCACAGACTGGATGACACAGAGACCTAGGATAGAACCAAACATGACTGGAGGGGGAAATATATCAATATAATAAAGCCAAATAATATTCTGCTATACTCATAGATTGGTGCCTAGCCCAATTGTCATCAGAGAGGCTTCATCCAGCAACTGATGGAAACAGATGCAGACCCACAGCCTAACATTAGGCTGAGCTGGAGGAATCCTGCAGAAGATGGGGAGGAAGGATTGTAGGAGCCAGAGGGGCCAAGGACACCACAAGAAAACTCACAGAATCAACTAACCTGAACTCACAGGGCCTCACAGAGACTGAACTGACAACCAGCGAGTCTGCATGGGACTGACCTAGGCACTCTGCCTATATGTTACAGTTGTGTGGCTTGATCTGAATAGAAATGGAGTAGATTGGGGGTACAGAGAGGAAGTAGTGCATACCGGGAGGAGAAGGAGGGGGAAAACTGTGGTCAGTATGTAAAATAAATAAAAAAAAAGAAGGGAAGTAAAGCAAAACTATTTCAAGGGCAAAGATGCTTTGCTTATGTTTTAATAACACAGGGATTATTTAATCATACAGGGAATATATCTACATTCTTGAAAATTTGGAAAATTCTGAATACAACACTGATCCTCTGAAAGTGGATAATAAATTATTTTTCTTATATTTTTCTCTACATTCTTATAAAAAAGTGATGTGTAGAGGAATGCCAGAGAAAAAGTATGAACAGCTATCATTAATAAAAGCACCAATAATCAAAAGAATGTCCCCTCTCTGGGGATATATACATACATATATATATACACACACACACACACACAGACACACACACACACACACACATATATATATATATATATAGTTCTGGTCTATATACTAGATTACAACATGTAAGTTCCTGGGTTCCATACTCAGCACCACAATGAGAAAAAGGGCAAGGTGTTATAAGAAAAATGAAATTCTGCTTGTAGAAACTAGAGAGAAAAGAACAGAAATACTAACAGGATTGCTGCAGCCTGAGCAATCAGAAACAAAATGGAATTAGCATGTGGACAAATCAATGTACCATGAGAGCGGATAATTTTTTTCTTACTTTTAGCTTTCATAGTAATGAAAATAAGGCCTGACTTATGCCAAAACGCGCCAGAAAATCAACTCTGATTAGAAGTGACTGTGCTCTTGGCTATCCGTTCTTTTCCTCTTTGCTTTTCCTGACAAGTGATGACACTATACACAGGAGATTCTCACTTGACCCATCTGGAAATCAGTTTGAGGCAGTGGAACAAGAAATAAATGGAATTACAAAAAAATGCTCTAGGGCAACACACATGATGAAATTATTAATATTTTTTGAAAGCTGCAAGGAATGGATATGACACTTAGAGGTTTTTGTTTTAGAAGTTGAAACAGAAAAATAACAAGAAATCAATGAAATAATTCTCTGCCTTGTACATCTCTATTTGAACTTATAGCCCCAACTCCCCAAACATAAGATTGCACCCCTTCACATGACACAAATGTTTCTAATAGCTGTAAGTCAAGAAGAAAGGTTTTCTATAATAACTGGAAAGCATCTTCTTGCCTTTTTGTATTATATGCTAGGCATTCTCCGGGTGCCAATCCTTTACAGATACTTCAGCTCCCTGTGTGGGTTGAAAGGTTATCAACCTGATTCCCAGGCTGCCCATTGCTCTGTTTGTATGTCACTTACCTGTCTGAACCAGGGGCTGACTTGAAACTCTGAAAAGTTTGACTGTCTAAATCCAAGCTATAGCTCCTCCCACTTTCAGGTTTTGGAGTTCTGATTTCTCCTCTGGTTGCTGATCTGAACTTGCTCAGAAGAAATCTGAAAATAAACATGAGTTCAAGAGTAAGATAAGAAAACGCTTTCATTGTAACTATAGACTATGCATCTGTCCACCCCCATCTGAGAGCCTTTGATTTGCAGTAGATGGTGATTAACACAGACCCACAACTGGGAAAGGTATAGAAAATGTGAGACTGCAGAATGCTTAGCCCGAAAAGGAACATATATGCCACACCACTCCTCCCAAGGCTCAGGGATCATTTCCGAAGAGGGGACAGAAGAGTGTAAGGGCTAGAGGTGATGGACAACCACAAGGAAACAATATCTTCTGGGCACAGAAGCTGTGATAGCTGCACATATGAACACACAGTGGTGGTGACAGCGTGCAAAAACAACAAAACAAACAAACAAACAAACAAACAAACATGTGCAAACCAAAGCCAGACAAAAATCCCAGGATGGAAAGGAGAATTGGGGACTAAATCCCTCCCCCTACCTGTGGAGCAATTGCCAATCTCTAGGGGTTGGGAGAGTCAGGTTTCTCTAAGAATGTAGCCCCTGGTAAGTCAACCACACTCAAGTGGAAGGCCACATATCCAAGAATATTTAGATATCACAAATAGCTCTTGATGGGTTAAAAAAGTAAAGGAGGTGATGAAGAGACAATCTAGCAGTTAAAATTACTGACTCTTCTTCTGGAGGACCTAAGCTAAACTCTCGGCACCAACATGGTGGCTCACAATAGTGTATAATTCCAGTTCTACTGACACCCTGTTCTGGCAATCCTGGGCACCAGTCACACACACATAGTGCACAGACATTCATGAAGGCAAAGTGCCTATATACATTTTATGTATATATAATATACATAATATAATTTCAAGTGTATCTCAGTGATACAGAGCATGTTTAGTAAGAGCAAAGACCGGGGTTTGATCTCTAGCACCAAAATTGAATAATAAAAATAATTTATATTACTTTCACCAATAAATGATTGTTCAATAAAAGGCCATGGCTGAGGGGTTCTGGGTAGTTGGGTGCCAGGGCCTCTAATTCCCCAGCCATCATACTACTTGTTGATAAGCCAGGGCTCTGTCCCTGCTAAGTAAAAGACTGCCTAGTTTGGAAACTCATCAGTGGCAGCCAAGAGGGAGAAGCATATTCTGGGCTGGGACTCTTTGCAAGCATGCTCAGAGTAGGGAACTGCAGATGACTTGCACAGAAGGGAGTCTCTTGGAAAAACAAAGGTGTCAACGTAGAGCACAGCACAGTTAAGAGTTGTGACTACCTTTCTCGTTAACGGAACCCAAAACAACTCTGGGGAATAAAAGAATGTGCTATGTTCTTACTAAGCATGCTCTGTATCACGGAGCTTCACTGGGAATGACATATCTTTTAAATTATTTGTTAGTGCTTAGACAATTTTCTACAATATGTCTTGTTTACATTCACTCCCCCAACTTGTCACCAATCCACCTTCCCTTCCCCATTTACCCACTTTGTGTTCTCTGTCTCTCTTTTCGTGTGTGTGTGTGTGTGTGTGCGCGCGCGCGCGCGTGCGCGCGCGCGCGCAAGCGCATGCATGCATTTTTTAATGGAATCTGCCTTTATATCTTCCATGGTACCTCTTCTCTGGTAATGAAGTTTCTACAAAGAAAGGTTACATGCTGGGCAAAATCTGATCACATTACTATGTCATGTAGTTAATTGGAAATAGAACAAAAATAGCTTTTGAGGAAATGGAGGTCAAGTCCTAGTCCAGGATATTGAGTGCACCAAACATGGCTGCTTCTAAACACACTTAAATAAAAATTGGACTCAGGGGTCTATTAATAATCATAATTTTGGAAGAGCACATGAAGTACAGAAGGAGATGGGTTTGTGAGTCCAAGGGAGATTTGCTGGTAAGTAGTATGGGTGGATAAAATCAAAATGCATGGCATACACATTTGGAATTTTCAAAGAATAAATATAAGTATTAAATATGACAACAACAGAATCCCAGCTGTATTCTTTAGGAAGATGGTACCAGGATGATCATTTTACTTACTTTATATTCAACCATGTTCTAAGTGAACAAATGGATTCCAAAGGTACTGGCAGAATCTTAATAGAATCTGCTAAGTTGTCTCTGCTTCAAGAGACCCTAGCAAAATGTCACTGTCAAAATGTCAGAACCTTCATTCTGCTGGAAAATTACATTTGGGGTGAGAATGATGCTTGATGTAATACTAGCTTTTGATGCTCAGAATCACCCCTTCTTCCTTTTGGTAATGTGAACTCCACCCATCTGTCAATCTCCTTGTCAAGTTCCACTTGTAATCTGATGTGTGTCTTGATGACTCTTGTGCATCCCCCCAAACAGCCAGTATCTATTTATTTAATATGTGTCATTTATTGCCTATGCCATCTCTTGTGACTTAACACATTGCTGTATTTCTGACCCTGACGGCATGTATTGCCATTTTATATTTTCGTACAAGCCTTTAAAACTTCGTAACTTTTTAGGTGTTAAGCTTTCCTCTCTAACCGGATATTACCGTCCTTACAGGCAGAACCACAGCTGCCAGTTTTGAGTGCCAGCAGGGCTCAGCCTGGTGCTCTGGTGGTTTGAATGAGTCAGGATCTGTGTGACTCATTGTGTTTGTCAGTTATTGTTTTCCAGTTGTGTGCCCTAACTGGGATGCCTGAACTAAAGTCTGCAAACTATAGCTCTTAACAGCATCTGGAGGCTCTGAGAGCTTTATTCAGTCAATCCCCTGATTCTTTTTAAGGTTAGGCACTATGCTAGATACTTTAACACAAAAGTAAAGAAGCCACTGGGGCAGCACTAAAACAGCTTACCATTAAGTGTGTCTATGGGGCACGGGTCAGAGTGCAAGCTGACAAGAGATTCACAGGCACAAGGCATTGTGGGAATCCGGACAAATACATGAATGCAATAGGGCAGGGAGGATTCAATGTCTAGGATAGGAGCTTAAGAAATTCTAGAACATCTTTTGCATTTGTTTCTGCTAATTAATGAACAAAGGGGTTCATCAAGAGAGTCTGAGTTAAATTACACTTTAATTTCATTCCCACCCATAGTTCAGAACACTGAAAAAACACGAGGAAAGTCCATACTTCTTTTAGAGCTACAATCTCAGCCACTGTCAGCATTTCATGGTGTTTCTGCTGAAATAACAATGCAGTGCTACCTAGAGAGGAGCACCAGGAGGCTTTGTACCCTTAGAACCCTTGCTATACAGTCTTTATTTGGGGGGAACTCTTATTCTTTTGTGGCACCTCGCTGCCAGTTCCCAGTGCCTTCTTGCATCTTGCTCTCTGACCTATCTATCTCCCATTGCTCATTGCGATACTCAACATGCACGTTTGCCTTCTGAACTAAGTCGAAGCTGTCAAATGTGACTTTTTTTTTTCCTTAAGGAAGCCTGCATTTTAAATAGAGAATAGAATGTTCAAGTAACTATGCTTTTATATACCAGCAGTTAGGTTAGAAGGGAGGGATACTGGCATTTGGAAGCAAAGGCTCTAACTCTTACTAGAGATCTGCCTGAAGTAATGGGAATCATTTGACATAGAATAAATAAGGCAAATGAAATAAGAACTCTTATACATTCAGGTCAGCCAGGGGTTTTGTTTGGGTTTGTTTTTGTTTTGTTTTGTTTTTGAGACAGAGTTTCACTGTGTAACAGCCTTGGCTTTCCTGGAACTCATTCTGTAGACCAGATGGGCCTCAGAATCACAGAGATCTACCCGTCTCTGCCTCCTGAGTGCTGGGATGAAAAGCATGGGCCACCGCTGAGTGGCTCCAGCCAGGGAATTTTTAATCTGAGGTTGAAAGTATTTAAGACTGCATTTCCGTAGGAGAAAATGTTACCCTAGTTGAGTCTCTCATCTCCTCTGGGTCACTGAAGTCACATCAGACATGAAGCCCTAAAGATGATTTATTTTAGAGTGGGTAGGCTGTGCTTACCCCTTCCTCTTGGGCCCATCATGAGTGGCTTTCTGCCTGAGAGAAGATGAAGTATCTGACTTGTCTACATCTTGGTGGGCTTGCTCTTGGCTTTGTATTTCTTCAGATCCTCATGAGAAAAAATAGAAAATAAATTTACATACAAAAAGCAGAAAGGATAACACATTTCTCTTATGCACTCAGTTTTCTAGGTTGCCACAAGACCAAAAAAAAGCCTATAATAATTGGTAATGACAGTTCAATGCCAAGTTATTTGTATACATGGGTATTTCTAATTTGCTGAATGCCATAGAGATAACTAAGAAATAAGACCAGGACTCTTCAGGGCAAGGTGTGGCATGATAAGCTTTCCTAGGAAGACTGCAATAAAGATATCTTTAAGGTATGAAATGATGAGTTCAAGAGATCTCTAAATCAATAGATTATAGGCATTATTTTTATAGGTGTTTTGTTTTGTTTTGAGGCAAGGTCTCTCTATGTTCCTAAGGCTGGTCTGGAACTCACTATGTAATCCAGACTGCTTTTAAGTACATAACCTTTGTGCCTCAGTCTCCCAGAAGTAGTGAACACAAGTGTGCCACAATACACCACAGCCAGAGATCATGGAAATGAGAGGCCAGATTCCCTGGGATGACATACATGTGTGCATGTATCTTATGCCTGGCAATGTAGCCCACACACTGGAAGGCACTGAGGTTTAGTATACAGAGAGGTTATAGCGGACTGGACAATTTCCATTCAACCTAACTCTTCTAACATCAGACCTGATGTGACTCACCTTTAGGAGCCCTTCTTTGTGAGTACCACACCCAAAAGTGACACAAATATCAGTTGTAAGCTTCCTAGACCAAAAGGTACCCATTCCACCTTTACTATATAAACCATGCATGGGAAATTTGCACTTAAGAAAGCTTTATTCAATCCTGAATCAATTAGATTGTAATTTGAGTACACTGGAAAGCAGTCTCAAGCTGGTTGTCTTTGGTATTTTAGGCCAGTATAATTTTTCTTTGACTAAAACTTTCCTGCATATTTTAAGCCCATTAGCTTATCACACTTGGTTCCTGTCCAGTAAATGCCATTGACTCAGTCTAACCATTATGACAACCAAAATTCTCCTTGGTATTTCCCAATGTTCCCATTTGTGAGAGTGGGGACTTTAGGGTACAATACCAGTGCTTGGTTAGGAACCAAAAATTAAATTTAAAAGCTACCATTTAAAAGAAAATCTGAAATTCAACTTGGTGAAAAAATCAAGAATTGTTTTCAAAATGGAAATCATTTATTTCACCTGTTTTAGGTTGCTTTCTTAAATGTTTAGTAAAACACCAGAAATGTGTCTGGAAAAGTAACAGGCTGTGATGAGGATAACTGGCTCCTTTAAATTCTCAGCATGTCAGATATGTGGAAAATCAGTATGAAGTTTGTTTTCTACTGACTTCATTTGTAGGATTTTCAGATTTAGATTTTAAGCTACCAAGTTGTGAAATGGCCCATGAGATTGAGGGGAAAAAATCCAACTGTATTCACCTGCAACATTACTATAGGGAAGTTATTTAATCCAACCAATGGCTTAGAGACAAATAATTGCATTAGTTACCTGGACTTCTTCTTAAGATGGACTGTCGAACAACATCAGTGCCCAGAACATTGACTTGCTTGAAACGCTTTGCCTTCTCTTCAAAAAACCATTCTCCACTTATAATCCTCAGCTGCCTGCTCATGGAGCAAAAGGAAGGTACTAAAATTAAATGATTTAGCTTTGCATAGGTAACTTTCCAAAACCACTTAGGTAAAAATGCTGAGTGTCGATAAAAGATCTTCAATATAAGAAATGAGGACCAATCAAGGCCCTGTATGAGATAACAGCATCAGTAAGAACCTGTTTGGGGAAGATTCCTTCATGGAACATAAACCCTGGGCTATAGTAGAGAACAGGACAAAGCCTATCAAAATACTCCAGGAGAACGGTGATGGGATGCATTCCTGAGCAAGAGGGAACTAACAGATGCGGAAAGAAAATCAAACTGTCCTGTTAGAAATGTCTTCCTGGATTTTGTAATCAATTGAAAGTTGTAATCAATTGATGGGAAAGAATCCTTGAATAACCTTGTGCTGGCTGGTTTTTGTCAAGTCAAGGCAAACTGTGTCACCTAGCAAGAGGTGACTACAGTTGAGGAACTGTCTCCATCAGACTAGCCTTGGCATTTTCTTCATTGATCATTGATGTGGCAGGGCCCAGTCCACTGTGGGTGGTGTAACATCTGGGAACTAAGACCTGGGTTCTATAAGGAAGCAAACTGGGCAAGCCATAGAGAGAAAGCCAGTAAGGAGCTTTCCCCCACGGTTCCCGCTTCTGCTCCTACTTGAGTTGTTACCCTGAGCTCCCTCAATTGTGAACTGTGCTTGGGACATGAAGACCAAATAAACCCTTTCCTCTTCAAATTGCTTTTGGCCAATGTTTTATCACAGCAGTAAAAAGGAAACTAGAACAGGTCCTATCCATCTTAGAGTGGCTATGTGTAATCACCTCTTATCTTCCCTCTAGGAATGTCTGGGATTTTCTTTTATGTCTTCACCTTTTCTATGACCTATAGAGCTTTAAACTTTAACTTACAATTATAGGTCCTGTCTATTGGTCTATTAACTCTCTGAGAGACAATCTCTATGTAACTCAACTCCTCCCCACATGGTACTATAATAATAGGCGTTTTATAGACTGTGCTCTCAAGCAATAGTTTCTTCTTTTTATTATATATACTAACATACATTTGTTACACAGATGGTGAAATTTATTGTGGTATTTTTATTGTGTAAAAATTGCACATAAATGGTACTGATCTATACTTCAAGTTATAATTTTTACTTGAATGAGTGACTACTCCATCATTTTAAGATTTTAGCTTCATTTCATGTCTTCACCGCAAACCTCATTAGCATCAGTGACATGAAGGCAGGAGTCTTGGCTCTTTAGGTTACCATTTCTAGCAGTAATATTTGGTACTGTAGTTTGTAAACATTTGTGAAATGAATCAAGTTTTCTGGAATTCAACCTTTAGCAGCTACACTGCTAGAAACCTCAGTTTGAGGCTTATAACAAAGACATAGAACCATAAAAGTCATTAGGTAGTCTAAAATTATTTCTAATTAAACAAAGAAATAGATTATAAGGGCATGAGCTGAGGATGGGAAATAGTCCTGTATTATTGGGTAAATGATTTTAGAGGATTATAGTAGAAAATGAGATTGAGAGGTATGCCTGGGCTATGTAATAGCAACCTTTGAATGCCATGCTAAGAAGCCAAAATGTCGTTCTGGAGGCAATAGGAAACTTGCACTAAAGTTCACACTCAATTATATAACATTTGGATAAATACATAGAGAAATGAGACACTAGCAAACTAATTAGGAAATCACTTTAGTTGACAAGACAAGAAATGATAAAATATAAATCAAGGTATCATGAGGATGAGACTTTGCAAGAATTAGTAAGTCTGATATGGTGGCTGAAGAAAAGCAACTATGATCCAAATAGAGATTTCTAGCCCCAGAGCATCATATCTAGATTTATCAACAAACTGTGCTTTAAAATCAGTAATTGGATCCCACATATAAAATTCATCCAGGAAAAGATATCAGCTTTATTCCTCATAGTAATTGAAATCTTGCTTCTTAGTGTAAGACACAAAGGGAAGATGTAAGTTCACCACAGTTCTACTAAATATCGAACTGTTAACCTTAGACAGTGAAAATATGGCCATACCATGTACTCCCCACATTCATTCCTGGTGGCCCTATAACCTCTTGAAAAGCACAGATTATTGAGTGGTTAATTCATAACTGTAGAGATTACAAAATGCATCAAATCTAAGGAAGATATAATCTGCCAAAAGAATCAATTTGAATAGATTATTCCTGGATATATCTCCAGAGATTTATAGGCTTATATATTATTAATTAGGCTAGAGATGCATGTATTTGTGGAATGTTAATTTCTAAACATGTTCTTTCAAGATTCCTGTCAATCAGAAACTCGTTTAAGTACTAAAGTAATCCGATATTTTTCTTTTTTTTCTTTTTTTTTTCTTTTTTTTTTTTTTTTTTTTTGGTTTTTCGAGACAGGGTTTCTCTGTGTAGCTTTGCGCCTTTCCTGGAACTCACTTTGTAGCCCAGGCTGGCCTCGAACTCACAGAGATTTGCCTGCCTCTGCCTCCCGAGTGCTGGGATTAAAGGTGTGCGCCACCACCGCCCGGCAGTAATCCGATTTTACAGCAAGAATTGAGCCACTAATCAAGTGACATTAAAATACCAAGACTGTCCTAGATCATTCATGTGGATCCAAAGTAATCACATGAGCTATTGAAACCAAGAAAAATAAGTGAAGTCAAAAGAGACAGCACAGAGCGGGAAGTCACAGAATGACATGAGAACAGGAGGAGTGACAGGACATAGCTGAGCACTTGAAAATCATCCAATGGGGTGTGCTAAAGTCTTGTCTCTTACTTGTGTATGTGCTTATGGGAGGCAGAAGATAGTACAGTGACAGTTTCATATGAAGCAGTCTACATTCTAAAGGAAATGGACTTCCATACTGTCTTCACCATACACCTACAGCTGCCAACAGATGCCACAAATACTATTTCTCCAGAGCTGTTAGTCACTACCTCCTGCCATCTGTGTGAGAACAATAGTTATTATAACTGTATTTGTTCACCTCTGGTATGAACTTGAGTAATTTGTCATTTTTAGAACTCTGAAGTATCAGAGATAATGCCTTTGTCCGCTTTGCAGTTTCTGGATGTAGACAAAGTTAATAGAAGAACAGGAAATTAATACTGAGTACCTACCAGGTACCAAGTAATGTGCTAGGCACTTTATATGTGCCATCTCCTATCCCTGCTATGAGATGTAAGCTACCAATGACAGTCCTCACTTTATAGACTAGGAAACTCACATGGGTTAAGCAATTTCCTCAAAGCTACAAAGGTGTGATAGCAGATACAACATTCATACTCCAAGTCTCATACTCTTTCCATTGGGCAATATCATCGGAAAAGAATTTATGTTTGTCAGCTGCAACAAGGCTTTGATGAGGGGTGTGTATGGAAACAAAAGCAATAGCCAGCAATGCTTAGCATTTCAAATGAATGTGTGTACACTTCCACATGTGTGCCAACTGGGGCCAAGTAGCAAGAATAAAGAAGTGATGAGAGAAGATAAAAAAAGAAATGTGGAACTTGCTATAAGATTTCAATCCATCTACCATGTCACTATAGTATTCAAACAACTCAAGGCTTAAAATAGACTGTTTCCTCTAAGTTGAACTCTGAAGTATGGGTTTTGACTGACATTACAATGCACCATACTTACTATCTGTGAACACTGATTGGACTGCTGACTATCCGAGAGTGTTAGCTTGTGGTTTGAATTAACATTAAACTCCTGGGGCTTTATGTAAGTTTTCTTTACTTGGAAATTTACATAAATGTGAAGAAGTTATATTCTTGTTTCAAACAGGCATATCAGCCAAAGTATTTTGTTTGCTTATCTATCATTAACTACTGGAGACACCTGTAATAAGATATGCTTTGTAAGCTACACTAAGATATTATTTTCCATCTGTTAATCACAAGGAAGCTAGTTGAACTTATTATTTATAAATTCATTCACTACATAGTACATATTTATTGAATTCCTACCATTGGGGGTTGAAAGAATAGAGGAAGAGAAACACAAACACTTTGTCCATACGGAGAGGTCTAGGTTCCTTCTTTTCCAAGCAGGAAAAAATGCAAAGAAATCCTGTACATATGATAGTGAAACTGCAAACCACTTACAGGCAAAGAAAACATCTTAAATGTAGTTCAGGGGCAGCAAAGGCAAAAATGGATTCCTACAAAGGAAGCAGCCTCCTTCTACCAATCCTTGCTATAAACCTTTCAGTGCTTCAGAAATAAAACCTTCTCCAAGGTAAATGACAATAAAGGTTGTTCTTCCAACTGATTCAAGAATGAGTCACCTTCTGACTCATCTCATTTCTTAGAGGTTAGGGTGGGAATTTCAATTTAATGGTCTATTAAACATGGAGACAGCCCAGTAGGGCTGTAATATCCTCTTAAAACAAACAAAGGACATTCTTTGCCAATAAAATATCATTTATACTTCCTTATTGAAAACCATTCCATGAATAGCAAAGAGAATATTACCAATATTGAAAGCTTTAGTCTCAGTGAGCACCCAAACAAGTAGCTTAAATATTAGGGAAGTATTATTAATAGATTTTTCAGCTGGAAAAGTAAGCGTGGACTTTCATATATTAAATACTCATGTAAATCTCCATTTATTGCAGAAAAACCAACTGTAGAAAAATTGTTGCTGGAGAAGTATAAGAATCACACATCAAAAGCTATTTTCTCTTTAGAATGTCAAAGAGTTTCTTTCATGGGTGCAAAAAATAACACAATAACCTTATTTTTTTATGTTAGACTATGAAGCCATTGAAAGCATTCCATGTTTCCCTATCCTTGGACCAATAGGCTAATACCAAATGTGTAGTAGGGATGGACAGATGTGTAGATGAGTAGATCAATTAGACAAATAGATGGTTGGCTTGATTAAGTTAATGTTTCACCAATAAAAAGAAGGCAATTGATTGAGAAGTTTTCTATTAATATATTAATACTTCCTAAGCAAAGCATCTTGTTCAACATTTTAATATTTATACTTGCATCTTCTAATAAGAACTTGTATTTTTCTGTGATGGGTAAACATTTACTTTGTTTAAAGGGCAGATATACTTGTCATGGCTCTTCTTCCCACCCCCCAACTTCATGTTCCCCTTAGAATAAAATTATATTTGTTCTATTTTTCTTCCTCTTATTCCAGCCTGATGTGCTTTAAGGAGAAGACATTCATTCATCCATTTATCATTTCATTATCTTGCTCATCCATCCACCTACTCATTTAACAAATACACATGGAGTACCTACTTTAGGCATTCCTTCAGGCATGAGGACATCATCACCGAACAACAGAGATTTATTTGAATCTCCTGTCTTCATGGCTATGGGGCTTATATTATAGCAGAGGAAGAGCAATATGGAATGCAATAAATAAGTGAAATATGTAGCACAAGTGATCTAAGTGGGAAGCACAGGAAAGGATTCTTTCCTTTTGGGTAGGCCAGTTTCTATGACAATCTCCAAATTCAACTCAACATATTAAGAGTTAATTTCTTGTTAATATACCCTAAAGAGAATCTGACTCCTGTCTTTCAGAGGAAAGATATAGTGAATTAGACCTTTATTTACCACTCATATTATCTAGCAAATGAACTGATCTAAAAACATAAGGCCACAGGTCTTGTGATTCAGTAATTAGAACTAGTATAGATACATGGAAGTAAAAATTTGTCTTATATTGAAGTCTGAGGATCCATGTAATAAAGGGCTTTTGAGTCTTAGGCCTTAGGTCCTTTTGACAGAACAAATGAGGGTCTGGGCTATGTCAGAGAATGAACAGAAATGGGATAAAGGGGAAAAGAATACATACTAAGAATCAACCTAGAAAGTACTGGATAAGAATTGGAAAAATAGTTATTGAGAAACTTCTCATCAATCCTGGGAGATTTGTGTAAGCAATTCCACTAAATTAGGAACAAGACAAGGTTGTCCACTCTCTCCATACCTATTCAATATAGTACTTGAACTCTTAGCTAGAGCAATAAGACAATTGAAGGAGATCAAGGGGATACAAGTTGGAAAGGAAGAAGTCAAAGTATTGCTATGTGCAGATGATATGATAGTATACATAAGTGACCCCAAAAATTCTACCAGAAACTACTACAGCTGATAAACATCTTCAGTAATGTGGCAGAATACAAGATTAACTAAAAAAAATCAGTATCCCTCCCATATACAAATGACAAATGGGCTGAGAAAGAAATCAGGGAAACAACACCTTTCACAATAGCCTCAAATAATATAAAATATCTTGCGTGTAACTCTAACCAAGCAAATGAAAGGCTTGTATGATAAAACCTTCAAGTCTTTGAAGAAAGAAATTGAAGAAGATATCAGAAGATAGAAAGATCTCCAATGCTCATGAATTAGTAGCATCAACATAGTCAATATGTCCATCCTACCAAAATCAATCTACAGATTTAACATAATCTCCATCAAAATTCCAACACAATTCTTTTTTTTTGGGGGGGGGGCAGTTTTGAGACAGGGTTTCTCTGTGTAGCTTTGCTCCTGTTCTGGAACTCACTCTGTAGCCCAGGCTGGCCTTGAACTCACAGAGATCCGCCTGCCTCTGCCTCCTGAGTGCTGGGATTAAAGGCGTGTACCACGACCGCCCAACCCAACACAATTCTTTACAGACCTTGGCACAAGCTAAAGTCATCTGAGAGGAGGAAGCCTCAATAGAAAAAAAATGCCTCTATAAGACCTAGCTGTAGGCAACCCTATAAGGCATTTGCTTAAGTAGTGATTAATGGGGGTGGGCCCAGCTCATTATGGGTGGTGCCATCCCTGGGCTGGTAGTCCGGGGTTCTACAAGAAAGCAGGCTGAACAAGCCATGGGGAGCAAGCCAGTAAGTAACACTCCTCCATGGCCTCTGCATCAGCTCCTGCCTCCAAGTTCCTGCCCTGTTTAAGTTCTTGTACTGACTTTCTTCAGTGGACTGCAATGTGGAAATTTAAGGCCAATAAACCCTTTCTTGCCCAACTTGCTTTTGTCATGGTGTTTCACTGCAGCAATAGAAACTAAGATGGAGATGGAGTCCCAACTGGCCATTTCCTGTCACCAAACAAAGCTTCCAGTACTAGGGCTGTGTTACATCCAATCGAATTGTTGGCCAAAGGTGGTGGTTCTCAACCTTCCTAATGCTGTGACCCTGGATGTGGTGATCCCCAACCATACATTTATTTTGCTACTGTTATGAATCATAATGTAAATATATGATATGTAGGATATCTCAAATGTGACCTCCAAAAGGTTGTGACCCACCCCCATGTTAAGAACCACTAGCCAAAGTGAACCCATGGAAATCTCCAAACAATCCAGGCTGTTGCCAAGACAGTAGATTGCTCTCCAAAAATTGACAGCAAGGCTCCATTGCTGAAGACAACACCCACACTGATTGCACATGGGAATGTCAAGCCAGTGCCTACATAGGGCCTTCACACCTAGATCCTAGTGCAGTGGTTCTCAACCTGTGGATCATGACCCCTTTGGGGTCAAATGACCATTTCACAGGACTCACCTAAGACCATCAGAAAACACAGATATCTACATTATGATTCATAACAGTAGTAAAATCACAGTTAGGAAGTAGCAAGGAAAATAATTTTATGGTTGGAGGTCACCACAACACGAGGAACTGTGTTAAAGTGTTGCAGCATTAGAAATGTTGAGAACCACTGATCTAAACAGAAGCCTAATGGGAAAGCTGTTACCCTTCGTCTTTTTTTTTAATTTTTTTATTTTTATTTTGCAATACAATTCAGTTCTACATATCAGCCACGGATCCCCTTGTTCTCCCTCCTCCGGCCCCCCTCACCTTCCCCCTAGCCCACCCCCAATTCCCACCTCCTCCAGGGCAAAGCCTCCCCCGAGGACTGAGATCAACCTGGTAGACTCAGTCCAGGCAGGTCCAGTCCCCTCCTCCCAGGCCGAGCCAAGCGACCCTGCATAGGCCCCAGGTTTCAAACAGCCAACTCATGCAATGAGCACAGGACCCGGTCCCACTGCCTGGATGCCTCCCAAACAGATCAAGCCAATCAACTGTCTCACCCATTCAGAGGGCCTGATCCAGTTGGGGACCCCTCAGCCATTGGTTCATAGTTCATGTGTTTCCATTCGTTTGGCTATTTGTCCCTGTGCTTTATCCAACCTTGGTCTCAACAATTCTCACTCATATAAACCCTCCTCATTCTCGCTAATTGGACTCCCAAAGATCCACCCGGGGCCTAGCCATGGATCTCTGCATCCAGATCCCTCAGTAGTTGGATGGGGTTTCTAGAACGACAATTAGGGTGTTTGGTCATCCCATCACCAGAGTAGGTCAGTTCGGGCTGTATCTCGACCATTGCCAGCAGTCTGTTGAGGGAAAGAGAGCTTGGGGGAGCGGGAGATCCCAGCTGTATCAACAACAGAGAGGGAGAACAAGGAATAGGAGACCATGGTAAATGAAGACCACATGAGAATAGGAAGAAGCAAAGTGCTAGAGAGGCCCACAGAAATCCACCCTTCGTCTTTTTGATGAATAGCTAGACCTGGAGAATGTTAAGTAACTGTTCCATCTCAGCTGATGCATACAGCACACAGGATGTTTGATGCTCATCTTGTCAGTTATCTCAAATGTTTAAGAATGCCAAGAGAATTCTGTCTATGCCTTTGGAGAAGCCGTGTGGTGTCTTGAAGGGCTTATAGAAAAGAAAATACATTGCTGGCTTTTAAATACAGGGAGACATTGATTCCATTAGGTCTCCGATTTTATAATGCTTCAGGGTTGTTTTTTTAAATACTGTTCCCTACTTTTATATTTGCTTCTACCTGTTTCTCTCCCACTGAACACTCCTTTATCTCTGTCTCTGTGCCTGTATATCTGTCTTTGCATTTCTCTGTGTGTCTCTGTTTCTCTGTCTCTCTGTCTCTGTCTCTCTCTCTCAGACACACACACACATACACACACACCACACACACACACACACACACACACACACACACACACACACACACACACACACTGTCAAGCCTGTAACGAGGTTGTGCTTATAAATCCACTCTCAATTTAAAATTCTTTTTCTCATTTCTTACTTTCTCCATTCGAATCTTGTCAGTCATCAAATATGGATTTTGTACAGAAAGGCGGGAAACTCACGCGACTTTGGCACAGACAGTGCACTTCCAGCTGCCATCAAGGCCAGTGACTCGACACTCACTGCACACCCTGAGTGAGCAGGCGTGGCACAGATCTCCCCGGTCAAAGATGAGGCCAAGGTTTTTCTGACAGTGAACACAGACTCTGCTGCTCTCTTGGTGAGTCTTCCCACTTCTACGCTTTGCTTCTAAAAGTTCATTTTTCAGCTTCCTGGTCAGAGAAAAGGCACATTAAAAGCTCAGAAGAGGACTAACAAGAAGCCTCGGTGGGTAAAGCTCTTGCTGTAAAGCCTGACATCTGAGTTCAATCCCACACGGTGGAAGGAGACAGAACCTACTCCCTCAAGTTGTCCTCTGACCTCCATATCACACATGGTATGTGTGTATGTTATCCCCCCAAACATACAAATAAATACATAGATGGAACCAAAAGAGTCACACAGGAACACAGCCTTCTTTATTTAAAAATATTTTCATAATTGAATCAAGGAATCAGAGCCAAATACTCCCAGCCAGTACAATTTCTCCTTCCAGAATCAATGATCTTTTGAAATTAGCTGTTGAGTATTTCTGTTTTACTTTTGTTATCTTCCACTAGCACTGTTTATTCATTTACCCAGGATGCCTTTGATATTCTAATCCTGGAAGTGCTCTCTATGTGAGGAAAGAGTACAAAGACATTCAGCCACATCAGTTCTTCCCTGGAGTGCACCTATGAAGAGGGTAACTACAAACATAGTCTACCGTTTCAGCTCTACATACTTCTGCTTAGCATTTAAGAGTTTCCAACAATGCACATTAACCTTTCTGTCAGACACAGCTATGCTTGAGTCCAGGATAGAACACAAATTAGCAGTCCAACTGCAGGCAATGATTTATTCACTTAATTTAATCTCTTCTTTTCTAAAATATGAATAATTACCTTCTTCAAAGGTTATTTTTATGAGATAATAAAAGTGAAGTTCCTAGCATGATTCCTGTCACATAGGTATCAAGTACATGCCACTTTCACATCCCCTTTTAAAAACGATTTGACAAAAAATGTAATTATCTGCCCTTTAGAAACTTGAAATTGCAAGCATAGCCCTTTCTCCAGAAGCAGCTCTTAGGAAATTCTTGGGGATACTAAATATCAGGATCTGGTTTACAAGACCAAAATCTGCTTTTTAAAAGCCAAAATCTGCGTTTTATCAAAACACCCAGTTGATGATAGTGTAGGAAGTACAGCTTTAGAACATGTGTTGTCTGACTTGTCTGAACACTGGACTAGCATAGAAATACTGGTGGCCAAGTCTCATCTCCACAAATGTGAATGCTATTGGTTTGAGAGGTGGCCTGGGAAAATGCTATGTCTAAAATGTCTTTATTTGTTTTAGTATACTGTCAGGTTTGGCAAACTCTACTCTAGAAGATTGACCAGTTCCCATTTTAATATTTTTTAGATATGCCACTCATTTGGGTTACTGATATCTCATCTTGTCTTCAATGCCCAGAAAGAAAACCTGGGAACATTTCACATCTTTCACATCATTTTCCTTTCATGTTTATGACATTAACTTTTGGCAGACTAAATCAGACTAGCATCTTCTCAGATACAAAAAGGATGAATGTATTTTCTTGAGCATGTGTTCAGGGTCTAACTCCAGGCTAGGTTATAAAGCAGTTGAATAGTTGAAGGTAATTATTTCTTTTGGGAAGTCTTATGAATCTGTATTGGTTCATGTGTAGTGTATATATGCTGAAATCACAGTGGATGTTATTAACAGTTCATTCATGTTAATAAAAATAAAATATTTTAAAGATAATAGCCAGGATAGATAGAACCAGAACTTTTCATTCTCATCCCAATGAGAGAATCATAAGTCAAGAATTTTAAACTGAGGAATAAGTTTTCCAAAATTATTTACATTTTTTCATATATTAATTCAGCATGTGTTAGGTAGGTTGTCATGACGACATAAGCAGGCTTGGAGGTCACTATGGATGGATCTTACCATCATAGTCAACTTTGGACCTACCTCCTGTTTCCCTGGTAACATTAGAAAGAGAAGCATCACAATTGCTACATCTTTACGATTTAAAATGCTGCATGAACAGGACTGTGTTTTTGAACCATTAAAAGAAAGCTAATTTGTCTTAGTCAAAAGATCAAAATCTGAGTTCTACTTTTGGTCCTGGGTAGAAACATGACATTCTGACATGCCTGAAATATACAATATCATCACCTCCCTTAAGAGTTAATCCAGCTTGGCCCATCAGTCACCTAGTCAGGATCACCCCTCAGGAACACTAATTCAAATGAAAACATGCTAAAGAAAAAAGAGTAATTGTCCCATTGATGAGATGATGTACATACACACATCAGGACCTCTGGGCCCCCAGATCCTCTGCTTACAGATCTTCACTGCTGAATTACACACTTTTCTGAGTTGTAACCCCCAAAGAATAACCTTTTCTCATTCCTTATCTCTTCTGGACTACCAGCCAAAGTCCTAAAAATTCTTTCCCTGACTCTAACTCAAAGGTACATTCTTCTCTCTCTCCTCCATTTCCCCCTACTGTTGTTTCCCTCTCATGCTAATAAAAGGACCTCAAGTCTCCTTCTGAGTCTGTTTTAAATTTTTTTTTATCAGGGGCTGGAGAGACAGTTGAGCAGTAAGTTCAAGTACAGCTCTTGTAGAGGACCTGAATACAATTCTCCAAACCCACATTGGGCAGCTCACAACTTCTTGTAACTCCAGTTCCAGGCCATCTGACACCCTCTTATGTCCTCTGTAAGCATCTGCACTCACACACGCACATATCTACACACACACACACACACACACACACACACACACACACACACACGATTAAAAATAAAATATTTTTAAAACAATCTCTTTCATCAAGAACATGAAAAACTATAATTGGCTGGTAACACATTTATCAAGTCTCTGTTCTTTGCTAGGCCTTCTGGTATGTGCTATCAAAATGAGTTAATATAGGACATCTGCTAAGAACAGATGGGGACAAATGACCCAAATACTGCAAGAGCAACCATACAGAATACTTATGTCCTCACTGTCTTGTGCATCTAAACACAAATGTCAAGAGTCCAAACTTCTGCTTTAGTGTTTACAGTCTATTTATATGTCTTCTACCAGAGCTCCTGACTCAAATGAAGTTAAAAACATACTTTTAAGAACTTGTGAAAGGTGTAGCTTTAAGCTATCAGAATAGGTTCTCATTTGAAGAAGTCTCCTATATGATTTGTGAAGCTACAAGAGTTATTTGAATACCTCAGGACCCAGGGGTAGTAGGCCTTTTGTGTAACACTGTTGTCCAATGCTTTCTTGAACTCTCAGCAGCTGTGACTATCTGATAGAGACCTGCATAAGACTAGGCCTAGTAATAGTCCCTCATAAATGAGGAACTCAAGAGACCCTATCCCTTGCTGAGGATATATAGGTAATGTTTTCTGGGATAGAAGGACCCACAAAATCCTACCCTGCCCTGAGAATAAATATTCAGTTTAATGTTGCTAGGGATAGTGACATTTCCTTTAATGGCGTGGCCACTGGTGAAGTACCTATGATCCCAAATAACCCTACTAAAACTCTTCAGTTCACTAATCTGGACGTGAGTGGAATCTTTTCTTTGGTATGTCATTGATGTCTTATCTGTGGTAAATAGAATTTATTTGTCTCCCCAGAAAAAGTTTACATGATAATTGATAAAGATACAAAGTAATTGAAATAATCAGAGGACAACAACCATTGAGAGCAACTTTACGTGAGTAGGTTGGTGGGTCAAAGTAGCAAGCAGTGAGGGGACTGGGACATATTCTAGAGGGAAATTCTCTCCTAGAAAAGAACATATCATTGGGTACTCAAAGTTTAACCTCTTACCAGCTCCTTTTACTAGAATTGTTGTGTTGTTGTTTGTTTTTGCTCTTTTTTGGGGGGGAGGCTGCCAACCAGCTCCCAAATAAATCACACATAGAGTCTTACTATTACTTATGAATGCCTGGCCTTAGCTTGGCTTGTTTCTTGCCAGTTTTTCTTAACTTTAAATTATCCTGTCTACCTTTTGCCTTGGAGCTTTTCTCGTTTTCTTACTTCTGTAAATCTTACTCTTTCTGTGGCTTGCTGTGTAGCTAGGTGGCTGGCCCCTGGAGTTCTCCTCCTTCTCTGGCTACTTCCTTTTCTTCTTCCCAGATTTTTCCTTCTATATATTCTCTCTGCCTGCCTGCCCCACCTATTTTTTTTCCTGTCTTACTATTGGCTGTTCAGTTCTTTATTAGACTACCAAGTGTTTTAGACAGGCACAGTAACACAGCTTCACAGAGTTAAACAAATGCAACATAAACAAAAATAACACACCTTGAAATAATATTCTACAACATTGCTGGGACCACTTTGGGAAGTTATAGCCATATAAAAGTCAATCATCTGCTTTCCAATTTTTGTGCTTTACTTCACAGTCACTTTATTTAACAGCCTACTTTAACTCAGAAAATGGTTTCTTAGCCTGAAAGGACTTGGGACTCAATATAGATCAGGCTAGAGGAAAGCAAATATATAAGAGTCTAAACATCTTAGTTGGGTAGTTCCTGAGACAATTGATGTTTATGATGCCAACTGTCTGCAATCCCAGCTAACTGGGCAGAAGGATCACAAGTTCAAAGCCTAACTTAAATGAATTCAAGGCCAGCCTATATTTTAGAAACCCTATCTCAAAATTAAAAGGTAAAAACAGAAGACTGAGGCTACACCTTAGTGGCAAACTGCATTCCTAGCATGTTCAAAGCACTGGGTTCAATATCCAGTACCTCAGTTTGCAGAGCAATGTGTGCTGATATCTGGCCATAGCCTTTTTGCTGTGTCACTCACAGCAAAGGTGGAAGGGTCATGAGGGGTCAAGAGAACACAAGAAGACCTCTAAATGGCTATGATAACAACCCACTGTTAGATTAATAATGAAGATATATATCCATTAATGAGGAGGGCAGAGTGAGCTCTGATGATCTAAGCATCTCCCTTTGGACTCCTTCTTCCAAATATGGTATATTGGGCATTAAGTTTCTAACACATCACTATTTGTATTCTTATTTTTTGTATGAGTGTTTTGCCTGTGTGTATGTGTGTGTACTGTGTGTGTGTACCTGGTGCCTGAAGAGGTCAGAAGAGGATGTCATATCCGCTAGGACTAGAGTTATGGATGCTTGTG